CGATCAGGTAACCTTCCCTTCCAGCTCTATGGGGGGGGGGGGGGGGGGTGCGTGCGGGTGTGTGCTTATGTGGGGCGGGTGATGGGGGGCAGTGCGGTGGGGGAAGCCGGGCGGCTCCCTGGCTCGGCAGAGCGGCCCCGTCGCTGTGGCACCACACTTGCCGTGCCTAGGTCACAAGCCTGCTTGCAGGCCGAACCTTCCTCACCTGGTGAAAGGTTTGGGATGCGACGTGAAAAGCACTTTGCACGCTATCAACTTAAGAGAACACAAAGCTTCTTTCTGGAGATGACTCCTGAAACTATCCAGGAGAATGGTATTAAAGCTGATTTTGTGAATCAGTTGGATTTGTTTTATTGTGTTCCTCTCAACACATCAATTTCTCCTTCTTGTTAGAGGCTGATGATAAAACAATATTTGCAGTAGCAGAATCTGTTCTACAGGGTCAATGTCAATGGACCGCCTGGATGCTCACATGCCCTTCGGATTACACCCGTTGGGTTGCACTCCCTCGTCAAGGAGGCCGCTCTTCTTCTACTTTTCTACAGTTACATGCTAATTTCTCTCGTTAACATCATGCTAATCTCTCACATTAACATAGCCACTTCCGTGTCCTCTAATTTCTCACATTAACATCATGCTAATCCCTCACATTAACATAGCCACTTCCGTGCCCTCATCTAGGATGCCGCTCTCCTATCTTACAGTTACATGATAATTTCTCACATTAACATCACTAGCGCCGGCCACTTCTTTATAACCCTTGAGCTACACCCATTTCAAACCTTTATAAAACAGTCTCCCTCAGCAGCAGACTATGCTTTCCCACCTGATGATGGACGCTTGTGTTCGCCTGAAACGTCGTGATTTTTTTGGTTTTATTTTATACCTTCGTGACTTTACCGAAAAAACCAAAGAGTATGAGTGAATTTGTCACCGCAACAGGCTACTGATATTCCCTGTGCACGTTTGAAATAGTTCCTGCACTTTTCTTACACGGTATCCATGCCAAAGCCTGTGCCACCCCAGGGGACCACGACCCACAGGTTTGAGAACCACAGATATGGAGAAACATTTCATATATCTACTTTTGTCGACACGAATGAACCTTAATTAAGACGTATGACCATCGTGAGAGAGAAGACCTGGAAGGGCTCTCTAGAGCGTGTGAACTGCACTCACCTGGCCTCTGCATTTGACCTGCACGTGCAGATTCAATACATTCGTAGCCCCTACATGAAGATTGTTTTGTCCGTGTTCACTTTCCTTCCAGGCTGAAACAAATTTAGGCAGAGCATGACAATTTTAGGATATTTCCATGATTTTGAATAACATACAATGCAATTGTGACAATTTGAAACTTAAGCCCCACTTACAGAGTTATTGAAAATAAGATTAATATTGACTTTGAAGGAAGCAGGCTTGGGCTTGAAAAATGTATTGCCCGATTAATGAGACTGGTGATGGAATTACAGCCAAAGGAGAGAACGTAGTGATGCAGCTCAGCGGTAGCGCGTTTGCCGCTTGTTGCATAAGTTATTTTTGTGTTTAGTTTGTTATCCTTCCCCGGACGTCCGATTAGCACGGTTGACTACAGTGAGGGAAAAAAGTATCTGATCCCCTGCTGATTTTGGACATTTGCCCACTGACAAAGAAATGATCAATCTATAATTTTAATGGTAGGTGTATTTGAACAGTGAGAGACAGAATAACAACAACAAAAATCCAGAAAAACGCATGTCAAAAATGTTATAAATTGATTTGCATTTTAATGAGGGAAACAAGTATTTGACCCCTCTGCAAGACATGACTTAGTATTTGGTGGCAAAACCCTTGTTGGCAATCACAGAGGTCAGACGTTTCTTGTAGTTGGCCACCAGGTTTGCACACACATCAGGAGGGATTTTGTCCCACTCCTCTTTGCAGATCTTTTCCAAGTCATTAAGGTTTCGAGGCTGACGTTTGGCAACTCGAACCTTCAGCTCCCTCCACATATTTTCTATGGGATTAAGGTCTGGAGACTGGCTAGGCCACTCCAGGACCTTAATGTGCTTCTTCTTGAGCCACTCCTTTGTTGCCTTGGCCGTGTGATTTGGGACATTGTCATGCTGGAATACCCATCCACGACCCATTTTCAATGCCCTGGCTGAGGGAAGGAGGTTCTCACCCAAGATTTGGCGGTACATGGCCCCGTCCATCGTCCCTTTGATGCGGTGACGTTGTCCCGTCCCCTTAGCAGAAAAACACCCCCAAAGCATAATGTTTCCACCTCCATGTTTGACGGTGGGGATGGTGTTCTTGCGGTTATAGGCTGCATTCCTCCTCCTCCAAACACGGCGAGTTGAGTTGATGCCAAAGAGCTCCATTTTGGTCTCATCTGACCACAACACTTTCACCCAGTTGTCCTCTGAATCATTCAAATATTAATTGGCAAACTTCAGACGGGCGTGTATATGTGCTTTCTTGAGCAGAGGGACCTTGCGGGAGCTGCAAGATTTCAGTCTATCACGGCGTAGTGTGTTACCAACTGTTTTCTTGATAACTAAGGTCCCAGCTGCCTTGAGATCATTGACAAGATCCTCCCGTGTTGTTCTGGGCTGATTCCTCACCGTTCTCATGATCATTGCAACTCCACGAGGTGAGATCTTGCATGGAGCCCCAGGCCGAGGGAGATTGACAGTTTTTTTGTGTTTCTTCCATTTGCGAATAATCGCACCAACTGTTGTCACCTTCTCACCAATCTGCTTGGCGATGGTCTTGTAGCCCATTCCAGCCTTGTGTAGGTCTACAATCTTGTCCCTGACATCATTGGAGAGCTCTTTGGTCTTGGCCATGGTGGAGAGTTTGGAATCTGATTGATTGATTGCTTCTGTGAACATGTATCTTTTATACAGGTAACAAGCTGAGATTAGGAGCACTCCCTTTAAAAGTGTGCTCCTAATCTCAGCTCGTTACCTGTATAAAAGACACCTGGGAGCCAAACATTTTTCTGATTGAGAGGGTGTCAAATACTTATTTCCCTCATTAAAATGCAAATCAATTTATAACATTTTTGACATGCGTTTTTCTGGATTTATTGTTGTTATTCTGTCTCTCACTGTTCAAATAAACCTACCATTAAAGTTATAGACTGATAATTTCTTTGTCAGTGGGAAAACGTACAAAATCAGCAGGGGATCAAATACTTTTTTCCCTCACTGTAACTCCGTCATTAACTCCTCACTCCCGTGGCTTCCGCCGTTATCGTCTCAAGCTCCCGTCAACCTGGCGTCTGTTCCGCGCCGCCATTTGCAGGCAGCCAATCACTGCTATGCATCTTAATTGGCCGTCTCCTTTCCGTTGCTCCCTCTCGCCGCACCTGGTCGTCCTGCTACGACCTCACTGTCTGAAACTCGCACATGCTTGCACACCGCTTGCACTCGAAAACGGACGGAGGGTGGCATAATAAATAGGCAAAAGCACGGGAGCCCTTCCAGACAAAGGAGCCACCGGGGGTCGCCGCCGCCCGCCCCGTTGCCGCAGCACTCGAGGGGGGACAGAGAACTGGCACATAGACAATGGGTCGAGGCGTAACGGAAAATAACGCTCCAGGTGTGGGCGGGGCATCAATTAAAAAAGGAAGACACGTGATTGGCTGCGCGGTGCAACGTCCCCCTGGGCCTTTGAAGTTTAAAGCATAAAAAGAGGAGCCAGGGGACGATTTAGTCAGTTGTCTACAACCTCTGGGCCGTCATGACCCACTTCCTACCGTCCTGCTGCTCACAGCCTCCGTGCGATGCCAGCGAGTGCTGCTGCGAGACAGTGATAGGACAAATCTTCTCTCGTTCTCCTCCCTCTGACTCAAACCAATGTTCCGCTTTTTGGGGGACATCAGGAAACTGGGGGTGCCCTTCTACAACAGCAGCTTCGTATATGGGGTGCCTTACCTGGCTAACAAGCGCCATGACCTCGCCAACTTCACCTGCGCGCAGGCAAAGATGGCGGTGTACAGAACGAGAAAGAAGATGCTGGAGGGTGACACTGACGGCTGCTCTGTGCTTCCGGTGTTCAGAGGCCTGCTTGAGGCGCGGCTCTGGCTGGAGCACGCATACCACACACACGTTGGTGATGTGCACGTCTTCTTCGAACGCTGGGGAGCCAGAAAGGCCCTCTGCACCAGCGTGGACGGCACCCTCATGTTCACCTTCTGAGGCGCTCGCTCGTCACCGTGGCGTGCGCGATGACACCACAACCACGTGACTTTTCATTTGTATTGTGCGCGGTGCTTTCAGCGCCACAGCGCGTGGATTTGTAATGTTTGTTTTCTTTTGTTTGCTGGTGACTTTGTGTATTTCATATTGAAATCGCCTCCAGTGCTTTTGCTGCTGGCGGCAATAAAAGTTGCTTAAAAGTCAAAAGTCTGACTCTCTCAGCGTCCGTGGGACGCCGCGTGTCCAGCTTCGAGGTACGTGGTAGGACGTTTGTGTCGCTGGGTTCATAGGCAGAGTTAGGCTCGGCTCTCCTCACGAAATATTTCTCCTCCAGGTAGTGTGTATTGGTACCATTAATAAACTTTAGTTCAGAATATCGGTGCAGTGTGATTTCTGTGTGTGTGGGTAGAACCTCGGCATGGTGGCTGCGATTTGCATGTGGTGCGTCTGCGCGGGGATACGGTGTGCGCGAGAGAGCGAGCGCGGGGCTGCAGCGTCTGCACGGTGTTGGTAATTTGAGCGCGTATGTGAGGCGCGCGTGTATTGCAACATATACGGCCGCCGTCGTTTGCACGTGTTTACGCGCACATGTGCGTGGAAAACGCGCACCTGCAGCGCTGCGTGAGTAATTGGGGCGGGGTGCGATCAACCCGTTCGCCGGCAGTCACTACACAGCGACAATAGTATCAACGGCGAGGCGTGCGCGCGTATTTCTACCGCCGCCGTTCCTTTTCCTTTCGCATGAGCCTTTGTTTGCACAGCAGATTAAGGCTTCACCACTCGGGGGGGGGGGGGGGAGGTACGCGTGCATATTTATGTCTGCCGCTGCTTCTTTCACTTTAGCGCAGGTAAGCGCATATTCATCCCGCCGCCGTTTCTTTTGTTCAGCGCCAGCCTTTGTGAGGGAAATACGCGTTTATGTGGTGCTGTAATTTGAGCGCGCGTGAGATAACCCCGGGCGGTGGTGAGCCAGCCGAGTAGCGATGACCCTCAGAGAGGGGGGTGGTCATCGCGCCCCGCCCGCTCACGGGGAGCAGGGAGGTGGACGTCGGCCTCCACAAGTTCACCGGCTCGGAGTGAGGAGGATGTGGGAGCTGCTGGGCTCCCTGCTGCTGCTGTTGTGCGCCGCGTGCTGCGCCCTGTGGGTGCTGCGGCGGCGCGCGCGCCCCGCACTCGACGCCTTCCCGGGACCGCCCGCGCACTGGCTCTACGGGCACGCGCACCTGGTGAGTGGTGGGCGTGTGGTGAGGACACTGGCTCTACGGGCACGCGCACCTGGTGAGTGGTGGGCGTGTGGTGAGCACACTGGCTCTACGGGCACGCGCACCTGGTGAGTGGTGGGCGTGTGGTGAGCACACTGGCTCTACGGGCAGGCGCACCTGGTGAGTGGTGGGCGTGTGGTGAGCACACTGGCTCTACGGGCACGTGCACCTGGTGAGTGGTGGGCGTGTGGTGAGCACACTGGCTCTACGGGCACGCGCACCTGGTGAGTGGTGGGCGTGTGGTGAGCACACTGGCTCTACGGGCACGCGCACCTGGTGAGTGGTGGGCGTGTGGTGAGGACACTCGCTCTACGGGCACGTGCACCTGGTGAGTGGTGAGCGTGTGGTGAGGATACTGGCTCTACGGGCACCTGGTAAGTGTGTACTTTATATGCAGTGTGTGTGTACTGTGTAGGTAGTGTGTGTGGACTGTGTATGTTGTGTGTGTACTGTGTATGTAGAGTGTATGTACCGTGTATGTAGTGTGTATGTACTGTGTATGTTGTAGGAATGTACTGTGTACTGTGTATGTAGTGTGTGTGTACTGTGTATGTACTGTGTACTATGTATGTAGTGTGTGTACTTTCTGTGTACCGCGCGGCCACCTAACGCGTGTTCACGGGTGCCGCGCGTGCGAGATTAAGGCCGGCCCCGTCCGGCCACGTGAGGCCGATTGACGTTGGCTCCTGGCCACAGCCAAGACCAATAGCGAGCGATACCTGGACCCGTCCTCTGGATATAATCAGCCGTCGCACAGGCAACTTCGTTGCCTGGCTCGGTGGTAGCTGCTGGTGGCTCGGCGCTGCCTGTGCGCTCTCTCTTTGCGTGCCCTCGTGTGCGCGGTACAATCGCCCCAAGACTACACAACGGCACGCGGAGATGTACTACACACACAGTTCTATGGAAACCTGCTGACAGAGCATTCAAAACGCGAGCAGCACTTGTGCCTGAGAAACCCTGCGAAGTGAATTCGCGATCCGCCAAGCGGCAATTACACCTCTGCTCAGTGGACACTGGCGGCGCTGGTAAAGGAGTTTAATGAAACAAAAACTTGCCTCGTTGTTTCAACTGTCGCACCGGGAGATCAGGGTTGAACCAGTGATCTATAGGTTGATTGCAGGTCCAGTGTGCTTCCCATTGTAATACACTGCGGCGGATTCCTCGTGTCTACGCAGGAAACATGCAGTCTATATGAGTGCATTGCTTAGTTACATCAGCTTGAATGGCTGTGTGAAGATGGCTGAGGGGTTAGGTGCTTTGTGTGGGATTGGAGGGGTCACCCCTAGTGTGCCGTTTCAGGCCATAGAATGTACTCCCTAACAGCACTTGCCTCAACAGTCTGTTCAAGGCTATACAGGGGGTGTTTGTATTTGTGTTGTACGTGTTTGTGTGCAGCTTCCAGATGACGAGCAGTGGCTGCAGAATCTTTTGAAGCTGTCCTGCGAGTATCGCTACGTGTTTCCCATGTGGGTTGGTCCGTTCATAGCCACATTGCAAATCAGTCACCCGGACTATGCCAAAGCCATCATCAGCACTGCAGGTAACGGCTCGCAAGGGGCAGAGAGCAGCGTGACCGCTCTAGCACTGACAGAACACGATCGGCCAGAAACACTCCTGCTACTGTCAAATCTCTTTTGCACACACAAACTAAAGTGTATTCGTATCTATGGGACCTTTTTTACCGGTATCAAAATGCTGGGGGAAAAAGGCTTTATCCTTTCCGGCAATAATACAAGAGGTGTAAAGATGTTGAATCAACAGAGGCATTTATTTCAATGATGCAAATCAGCATTAACTAGACATGGTAAAAAATGCAAGTATGCTTTGATTACAATGCACGTATTGATTGGCCAAAACCAGAGACTATCTATGAGACCCTTTGTGCCGGAATTAAAAAAAATATTGGCAGGGCATACGTTCCCTGCAGGAACACGCAGGGCCAGTTAGCAAGACATCAATACACAGACACGACAGGGACGCGGTCGTAGTGTAGTAACTGGAGAGCTTAGTAATATGAATAGATATATATATTTTACATCAGATGTCTGAAAGACTATGTATATTTTGCAAATATATTTTGGGTAATTGTACAATTTGGAATGTATATCTACAAAACGAGCCCACATTGGCCAACTCGTGAATAATGTGATATGGCTTGTGACGTCCACTTCCTAGGAAACGGCATCCCTTGTGAAGGACTTGCGAGTCCATGTGTGTATGAACAGTGTCGGATCGAGGTGGACAACATGCCAGATACACAAGGCCTCACAGACATAAATTGCGTAATCCGCGATGTAAGCACATTCGTCCACGGATCTGATTCAGTGAAACACCATCGGTATTTTGCTTCTTGTCTTGAGCCTTGGGATGGGATGTTGTTGTGGCGAGATATTAACTTGCTCACCTAGAATACAAGAGGTCGTGGGTTCGATCCAGATCCTGATGCCTGCTGTATATTTTGAGTTTGCATGTTTTTCTCTCTCTTCGTGGTCGTGTGGATTTTTCTCCGAGTCCTCCAGTTTCCCCTCCACATTTAGAATCAACATGCGTTTCAGGTATTTGGCTGCTGTAAATGTCCACGTGATAAGCCACTTTGTTGAGCTATTATTTTTTATACTCTTAGTTCTTTCGGTAAAGTCACGTAGGTAAAAAATGAAATAAAAATTAATAAAAATAAAACAATAAAAATCACGACGTTTCGGAGGCAACACAAGTCTCCGTCATCAGGTGGGACCGTCACACCAGATTTGCTGCATTAGGTGAGAGAGGAATTCAAGATGTAAGCTCTTAAGTACCAGTTAAGGGGGGAGGGAGGAGAGGGGCTTATCAGAATGTGGTAGCCAATGAATGGAACGCATCGGGAGGGGGGGGGGGGGCTAACAGAGGGACGGGGTACTCGTGGTCGTGGTCAACGACGTGTTTATGCGCAAGTCACTGTGGATGTACATAATAGAAAAGGAAAACGAAAATGCCTATGTTTATACCAGTGTTGGCTGACAATAAAGAGAGTACTGTTAAACGTTAGGGATGTAAATACTCGGTAAAGTAAAATAGTGCCTGTCAGATAAGATGGTCCAAAAATGTGTAATTAAATCTTCCAATGATTACTAAGTTTTGTACCCATCATCACGGTTGAAATTATGTCTGTGTTTGTATATCTGAATGGCTTCGTGTACAAACCTTTGATGGTAGCCAGAGGGTTTGCAGAGCACCTTAGTCTCGGAGAAAACAATCTCACGAGAGCCCACCGCGTTGTAGCAATGATCGGCAACGGCGGAAGACTCAATTTTGCCGTGTTTCAAATCTGATTTGTGCTCGCTGACACGATCAGAGACATGACGTTTCGTTTCCCCAATGTAAACTGAGTTGCAGCTGTGGTGACTGTTATATTGGGGAAACGAAACGTCATGTTTTAGATTTGAAGCTTTCGTGACTGCCAGGATTCATATTCTTAGGTTTTTTCGGTAAAGTCACGTAGGTAAAAACATCAAAATTAATGAAAATAAAATAAAATAAAACAAAAAATCACGACGTTTCGGAGGCAACACAAGTCTCCGTCATCAGGTGGGACCGTCACAGCCGAATTAGCAACACAATTAGCTGTATCAAGATACAGCTAATTGTGTTGCCTCCGAAACGTCGTGATTTTTTTGTTTTATTTTATTTTATTTTCATTAATTTTGATGTTTTTACCTACGTGACTTTACCGAAAAAACCTAAGAATATGAAACGTCATGTCTCTGATCGTGTCCGCGAGCACAAATCAGATTTGGTACTTAAGAGCTTACATCTTGAATCCCTCCCTCACTTTATGCAGCAAATCTGGCTGTGACGGTCCCACCTGATGACGGAGACTTGTGTTGCCTCCGAAACGTCGTGATTTTTATTGTTTTATTTTTATTAATTTTAATTTCATTTTTTACCTACGTGACTTTACCAAAAGAACTAAGACTATGAATCCTTGCAGTCACGAAAGCTTCAAATCGAGAACTATTATTTTTTGTCAGGTCACATGAAAATGAGCTACATAGCTGAGTGGGCCTTACCTGGTAAAATAAAACATAGTTTAGTTTGTAATCATGTAGTTTATGTTTCATTGCCACTATAATATAACATTTATATGAAAAGAGCATTGGGTGGTGTGGATTTCCACTCTAATCCTGAGCAAGGGGTGTAAATTCTACGTTTCTCTGGTGGGGGTCCAGTCTCAAAATCATTGCGTGGCTGTACCATTCTCGTTCTGCTATCATATGCATTGATACTTACTTTATTTAGGGCAATATTGACACTAAAATCAAGATTAATTGACGACTGTGGACATCCCGACAAGCGGTACTCACCGCGCAGACCCTGTCACGCCGAGCTTGACGCGGTAGCATCCGGCCCAGTGATGAGAGCGCAACTTCAGACCACGTTAGGTGGTACAACTCAACCCTTCGTCGCTCCAGGGTTGATAAATTAAATACCACTTTGTCGGACGTCAGCCGTGCTTGTTCTGTGCAACTGACATGCCCCCGCAATAAGAACATGGATTTGCCACCGACTGCGAAGCAATTCCGATCCTGATCAAATCGTATTTCAATGCTAAACACAGCCAGCCCCATCACCCAGTCCCACTCGACCCAATACCAGACTGCTCATTCACCCGAAATATTCATACAGGTGTAGTGTCAGTGAGTAAGAAGCGAGGTTTGTAGAGGCATCTTCTTTATTGCGCACACACGATCTCGCCTGCAGACTCTACAGTCGCTAGCCTATATACAACACTAGCCGTCTAACACCCCTTATTGGCTACAAAGCAGGACCGGCAAGCCAATCCCCACGTGAACCCTCTATGGCTGTTATTACATCACCCCCCCCCCCCCCCGGTGAAAACATTTTTAGCCGTCTCGGCTGGGAAAAGGGTGATGAACCAATTCCGAACATCTTATTAGGGCACCAGGGTGTGTTTAAAAATACGAGGGTGAACCGGCGTCCCCGCGCCTAACAACATTTAAAACAGTCACCCATGAAAAATCACGACATACATTAGGGCGCCGCTGCAGCGCAGTAACGACAGGGAATTTAGCGAAACGATCAACGTTAACGAAACGGAAGAGATTTCGACCGCGTACGCGACGCGGGACCCTCTCTATATTTAAGGGACCGTCACAGAAACGACCCCTCTCTTTGTGCCGATATGTGTCCTCTCTCTGTGTGCCGTTGTGATGTCTGTCTGCTTGTATGTCTGTCTATAGTTTTCTAGTTAGATTTTTGTTGCTATTTATTTTATGCCTGATGATGATTGCTTGTGTTGCAATCGAAACGTCGTAATATGCTATTATTTTAATTTATTATTTTATCTTTAGACGTGACTTAACCGAAAGAAACAAAGAATAATTCCTGCAGTCACGAAAGCTCCAAAATTAAGATTGAGGTCTAACACCGACTTCGCTGACGGAGACAGTCAACAACTATCTAGCAGCGCAATATTGAGCGAAGACGGCAGCGACGATGGCGACGAGACGATCCAATACCAGAACCGGCAGCCTCGAGCTCCCGCTCTCGGCCCCTTTTATGCTACGAACACGACTTGGCTCCGCCCTGGCCGCACCTCCCTTCTCGAACCCACTCGCAGGTTTCAGGGGTTTCCAGATAGGGCCCTCCATGACCCTTGCCCCAGTTCCTCCGCCCTCCCGACACACCCGCTCATATGCTCACCGGCGTGTGAGCATGTGAGCGGGTGTGTAAAAAATCAGTCTATGCAATTTTAATTCACTCAGATGCCGCTATACGGTCAAAAGTGGTACACCATTCTTGTGGGTACTGTGTGTACTGTACACGCTACTCAGCAGGCAGCCGTTTTGCTTTGTACGCCCTTTTTTTTGGAACACATCAACCGCATAAAGTGAGAGAAACATGCACTTTACACAGTGTTATACATTTTGGAGCCTGGTAAACAAAGGACATGACTTCATCTTCTGCGAAAGGTATGGATATGTGAGCAGGTCCATGAGGTGGTTCAAGTAAATTTTTGTTGCTTTAGAAATTCCTGTGTTTGTTGTACGCACCTCATGTGTGTTTTTGTTCAGAACCGAAGAATGACCTCGGATATGTATTCATCATTCCATGGATCGGTGAGTTTACAAATTCTGCAAGACACACGAGAGACCACTCGACAAATTCACTGGAGGCAGCAGACCAGCATCAGAAATGCATTTATCCTCACCTGAAGCTGTCATGTGGCTTTCAAACTTTGATATACAGAAATCCCTCGCCAGGTTGCTGGAAAATTCCACGGTAGGCAAATCCGCGGTTGGTAAAGTACAGCTACGGTCAGACTTGTCAGAGCTTAACTACATACCCCTTATCAGTGCGTACTAGTCCATGGGCCCAGACCAAAAACATCACTTACTGGTACCGCATGAGGTGGCAAAGTCTAGTAATGATATTTGTAATCCTTCATGTGTGTGGGACATATTCGGATAACACTTTTGCGGAGTGGCAGCTTAGTTGTAGTAACCATGACTTTTATACCCATACCCTATGACAGGCGTCAGGAACGATGAAATGAGCATTATTACTGAAAAACTACCTAGACCAAAGCCAGTTAGGTCACACACTGGTCTTTATTGGTTTAAATACACAATGAAAACACAGGATAATAAGGAATACCATAGTTAGGTAAGGAACTTCTTGAATATTATAAACATTGACATTCGCATATACTTAGTCAATGATACATGTGTAATAATCCTTCTGAGACGGCTTCGGAATCGGTCCTCTTTATTTTCACTTCCACAATACACTTTACTCACTCACTCTCCGTTGCTGGCAGACAACAGAGAGCGGGCAGACTTCACACCAGTTCCCACCGCGCACGTGGCACCCAGAGCCCCCGTACGCGCGTGGCTCTCCATCTGTTCGTTCCCCAGTCTGCTCTCGATCGTTCTCTCTCACTCTCTCTTAATCCCTTCGTCACGTGGTCCCCCCAGCCAATCCTCCATGGACAGCCTTGACCATTCTCGATGGTTCCCTGTCAATCCCGGGACCACGCCCCTCATCCGGCTCCCCATTAGCTGGGGCCCCGAATGGCTAGGCCAATCACTCCTGATGACATGCCGTGATCACGCCGGGGTCATGCTCCCTATCTCAACCCTTATTGGCTACAAAGCAGGACCGGCAAGCCAATCCCCACGTGAACCCTCTATGGCTGTTATTACACATGTAATCCCATATATATCGTTAGTTATGGGTATATGTGAAGAAGGTTACATGAATGTTATCAAGCTCTGTGTGTACTTAGATGGTGTTAACAAGGGTAACCAAGTCCAGAATTACCACACTGTGCATCAATGTATACTACTACTACTACCACAGTAATACCATCAGAATCACCACCCTGTGTCACTCATCAAACTGCTCGTCTATCTGGTCATCTGACTCCCCGAGTTCAAAGTTAGGTTCTGGATCGTCCTGCAGTTTTTGGTTACTGCAGGTCTGTAACCTGCACATGTCTGTGCATGTCAGTCCATTTGACAGGCACGTGCAGCTTGGCATGTTGTATGAACGCACACACTTGCATGCTAGCGGTTCCAAGACCACATCTGGTGCAGATGGGAGCGTATCCAGTAAATGGCCAGCTTGCCATCATCGTCTGTCCATCTATACTTAGTAGGGCTCGGCACCACAAGGTTAGCCTGCAGACAGCAGTTTCAGATTGCTGCCTGATAGTTGGCTCGTTGAACATGCATGAAGAGACAGTCTCTACATGGTGGCGACTAACTGGACTCTTTTGGTGCAAAAGAGCTGGTAGCGCAGTTCGTTCACCTCACCAGTGCTGCTATTAGCAACATACATGCGACAGATGAACTGCTCAATTTTCTGAAACAGCTCATCACTCACATTCCATGACTGCCCCAGTCGACTAATCGTCTCTTGGCAGGAAGTTTCCTTTCTCACCATCTTCAGGGCATTCAGCTTCCCTCGACCGGCGAATGCCCTGAGAGTATCGCAGCTAGTGAAGGTGTGTAAGCCAATTAGGTTGTCACAGATGCTGTCTCCAAGTGACCTTGCCAGTTTGCCCACCCTCCCCCTCGTCCTCTGGGCCACAGACGCAACACTCTCACTTTCGCGACTCGCTGCATGCACGCTTTGGATCCATGATCAAGAGCACAATTAACTTGAATGTAGTTGTCATGCGACGGCCGGTCTATGCTCTGCAAGAATCACATTACAATCGACGGGCAGCTGATCAGCTTCGCAGCGCCATGGGTGGTGCTCCGAAGCTTGGAGAAGAACCACAGCCCCACAAAATGTGTAACAATGACGTCACGCAATGGCGTATTACCAACGTCATGTGGCTTAATACCTTGCTTACCCGTGGATACTTCAATTTACAAGCCACGGTTGGTAAATTGGTATACAAATAATACACCGCGTGTGCATGAAATCACGGTTTGCCACTCCATGGTTGGTAAGGGGTTCCTGTAATAGATATTTAAGTTGCTCTTCACTAAGGCACATTAAAGAGAAGATATATTGGTGTCCTGAAATTCATACATGAACTATTTCAAAATGACGAACTGTATCAACATTTTCCATGAATAGATATGGTGGTTAATGCACCGTGCTATGATTCCCATAACCTGGATTAAATATCCTGTCATGCATATATTTGTCAAGAACTGTTTACACTAACCGCAAGCGTCCAGACTGACTAAACTAGGCTGGTAAACCAGACCTGGCCAACACACGTCATATCTTTATGTCCACACACACACACACTGACTCAGCGAGTACACTTCCATCTGCACTGACACACACACAATGACCCAGCGAGTACACCCCCATCTACACCGACACACACACACTAATCCAGCGAGTACACCCCCATCTACATCGACACACACACACTCACCCAGCCAGCACACCTCCATCTACACCGACACACACTTGTAGTGGAGTAACGCACGTGGGGTTTTGTGAACTATCCATCTCTGCGTGTGAGCCGCGGACAGTGAAGTCACGCCAGGACAAACAAGTGCGGTGTGAGAGCAATCCAGAGAGAGACGACCAATTAGAATGCATAGCGGTGATTGGCTGTCTGCAAATGCAGATACGGTGTAGGCGCCTCGGAGTCTGCAGATTGAGGCGATAGCAGCGGACGCCACGTTCGAGAGGCGTCGGGAGGACGCCAGCTTGATTAGGGCGTTTAATGAGGAGCAGGATAAATATGGAACGTGTGAGGCAGGGGGGGAGAGTTGGTTGGAGTAAAGAGAAGAGCGAACACAAGAGAAGTCCAAGGCCCCACTCTCCACACCTCGTCCTCTCCAGCGGTGATGGCTGAACCCCCACTGGAGGCAAGGGCGAGGTTTGAGAGGCGAGGGTAGAAAGGCTAGCAGTAGAGAAGCTAGCGGAATCCTAAGTGTGAGTGTGTGGAGACTAGTAGTAGAGAATCTAGCAGAGTATATAGCGAGAGGCTAGCAGCAGAGAAGCTAGCAGAGTATATAGCAGAAGGCTAGCAGCAGAGAAGATAGAGTATATAGCGAGAGGCTAGCAGCGGAGAAGCTAGCAGAGTATATAGCGAGGGGCTAGCAGTAGAGAAGCTAGCAGAATGAGAGAGAGAGAGAGCAGAGAGAGCGGAGCGAGCGGAGCGTGGCAGACAGGCTATCAGCGGAGAGGCCAGCAGAGTGAGAGAGAGCAGGCTAGCAGCGGAGAGGCTACCAGAGTGAGAAAGACAGGCTAGCAGCGGAGAGGCTAGCAGAGTGAGAGAAAGCAGGCTTATTTGCGGAAAGGCAGGCTAGCAGCGGAGAGGCTAGGAGAGTGAGAGAGAGCAGGCTAGCGGTGGAGAGGCAGGGAGAGAGAGAGAGCGGAGAGAGCGAAGTGAGTGAAGCGAGTGGAGCGAAGCAGGCAAGCAGCGCAAGCAAGAGAATTGTGATGGAGTTACGTGGTGTTGAACATATGGAGTTCAGTTCGAATAAAAGTTACACAGGAGAAAAAAAAGTTGTCCGTGTGAAATAACAGCACTACATCATTTGGTGTCGAAGTGGTAAAAGAACTATGCAGCCATGTCAAAGCGGCTAAAAGAAAGAACTTACCGACGATGAGAACGACGAGGAGATTGTTCCTACCATGGCTCCCAAGACTGTTGCTCAGCCGGCAGAACCAGAGGACTGGCTGCCGTTGGCGCAAGTGAGTGAGCGCGAGGAAAGTCCGACCAGCACAATGAGATGGAGTTGGCGGGATGTTGCTGCACACTTGGAGACCACGCTGGCAGCAGTTACGTACATGTTCAACATGTTGATGGCAGCGGGCCGGACGACGTCTACGGAGGTGACGACGGACGTGACTGCTCTCCACGTCGCTTCAACAAGGCCGATCGTGTCCGACCGAGTGGGCACGGGACCCGCCGTTGCAGCGGTTACGTCAGACTCAAGATCCACTTCGCCGATGGTGCACACAGCTCCGTTGCGCCGGCTGCCACAGGTCCGCGCATTCTCCGCGACCAAGGGCGACTGGACGGCATTTCATCGATGCTTTGAATCAGCGTATCGCTCCGTCGATTGGTTGGAGTGCGAGGCATTGCGGGCCCTGCCAACGTCCCTCGATGATGACTCACTGGCCGCCTTCTACTCCATCTCTGAGACCGATCGATCATCACTCGCCGATGCGTGCACCGCGATGGAGGCTATTTTCGAACCACCATCGACCATCGGAAGGAAGGTTCAGCTTAGAAAGCAGAGGGCCACGGAGTCACCTTTGCTATTCCGCAGCGCTCTATTAGCCCTCGGATGGGTGGCCTATCCCTCCATGGATCGGGCAGCCGTCGACTCACTCGCCCTGTAGTGGCTCTTGACGATATATAAATTATTGGAGGTGTTTCATCTCCATCGCCGATGACGACGACCTATCATCCCTCTAAGTAGCCAAGAACATTCAGGCGCATCTGGGCATCAGGGAAGAGCCAGCTCCGATGGCGTGCATGACAGTGGAAGGGGACAGCAGCACGGTATATGCAACCAGGTCTTCAAGTCCACGACGTGCAGAGATGTGAGGAGCTCGGTCGCCGGTTGGGTGGCCACCACAGCGCCAGCCGCCGAGAGGATACGCTTCGTGTGGGTGCTACAACTGCGAG